AATACTAGGACTCAAATTATTGCTTACCCAGAACAGACATTTTCTGGCTACTTTCCTTTCCTAATACGAACTCATTTGTTCACTTACACGACAATAAGATGTACAATTCCTAATAGTTGAATTCTGATCCCGGCAACAATAGGGATTAAAATTAATATTTAATTATAATATTCATTAAAATATTTTGCATTATTAAACGGTTTAAAACATGTTGTACAAACAATATCCCGACTTTTTGAAATTTGTATAATACGGTATATTAAATTAAATGTTAACTTAAAGATAATTCGTTAAATACTTACTGCCAATAGACGTTTCTAAAACATACTTCATATATCTTTTGCATCCAGCTATAGCAATTATAAAATAAATTTTGAATCTGACATACAAATATGTATTATTTGGACATAAAATTACGGTATGTATCTAATATACATAGNATTAAATTAAATTAAAAGATAATTTGTAAAATACTTACTGCCAATAGACGTTTCTAAAACATGCTTCATATATTTTTTGCATCCAGCTATAGCAATTATAAAATAAATTTTGAATTTGACATACATATATATATTATTTGGACAAAAATTACGGTTTGTATCTAATATACATAGATTATAATTACCATTCATTTCTGAAAATTTCAAAAAAAAAAAAATTTGATAATAGAAAGTTTTTAAAATATGATGAAACATTGATCTTAAAATAAAACATACTAAACTATTTTTAGGAGTGAGTTTTGAAAATTTGACAAGTGTAATAAAAAAATTAATGTATAAAAACAACTTCATTAGTGGCCATGAAGCTACATCAAATTTGTCTAATAATAAAAATCACATAATTATTACATTGCGAGGTTAAAACATCGTATGTAAAATTGTTATGATATGAACTACTGTGGCTTTTGTGACACACTTTATCGCATTCGATAAATGATATAATTTTATCCATACGAGTTTAAAAATAAAGATTTCAATATAAATTAATTGCCTTCAATGATTTTATCATCATACTGAATGCGATTAATATGTCAAATAATGTACAATTCATTTCAAAAATTAGGATCCAGGCGAATATACTATGTAAATAATAAACGTTACGTTACGAAATATATTCAAGCTTCTTTCTGTGATACTACGGGTACAAACTATGGTGGAATTAGTTATTCTTGTGTTTCATTAGAAAAAAAGAGCGGTAAATATTGTATTTATCATGTTGTCAAAACATTAAATATTTATTCTTCAAAAATGCTGATGATAAAAAATTATGTACGACATCAAATCGAAAATATTAAACGTTTAACCGAAATTTTAAAAATCGGNACGGGCCCAAACCCCGGTGGAGTTAGTTGTTTTTGTGTTTCAATAGAAAATAGGAGCGTTACATATTGTATTTATCATGTTGTCAAAACATTAAATATTTATTCTTCAAAAATGCTGATGATAAAAAATTATATACGACATCAAATCGAATTTATTAAACATTTAACCGAAATTTTAAAAATCGGGCAACTTTAAAAACTGAACAGTTTGAACCAGGAACCAAAAAATAATATGCACGAAAAATAAATAATTCTTAGTGACGTGTAATTATGACCAGTGTAATTAATGTTATTTGAATATTTTAAAATCAATTACACTTAAGTCTTAAAATTGGTAACAGATAACATATTAGTAAACAATATACGGTTGAAATATAACACTAAACCAGTAAAAT